TGATTGTTTCCCTCCTCTTTCACACCCCTTACTGCTTTCCCTGTTAAGTGCTTCTTTTAGGATCAAGACAGGATCCTAGCGTTCCTTTGTTCAGACTCCTCTGACTCTCCCAGCCTCTCCTGTTCCACTCCCGCCTTGTCCTCAGCACTCCAATCAGGCTGGCCTCCTCCACTTCCCTCCTTTCACACACCCCGTGTGAAAAGGGTGTCCTTCCTTTCCCCCCTCAGGGCCTCTGCACACCCTGTACCCTCTGTCTGAGTGCTGTTCCCTCCCGTTAGTGAGGGCGGCTCAAACATCCCTTCCTGGACTCCCTGGTAGCACAGTGGATAAGAATCGGTCTGCCAATGCAGGAGACACGGGTTCAATCCCTGGTCTGGGTAGATTCCACATGCCACCATATGCTGCAACTACTGAGCCTGCGTGCTGCAGCTGCTGAGGCCTGTGCACCTAGAGCCCATGCTTCACAACAAGAGAAGCTACCATATTGAGAAAGCCTGTGCACTGCCACAAAGAGTAACCCCCCCACCTGCTGCAGTCCGAGAAAGCCCACGTGCAGCAATGAAGACCCAGTGCAACCAAAAATAAATTATTAAAAAAAAGATCTCTTCCTCTGGAAGCCTTCCCTGACTTAACTCAACTCAAATCCCCCATCACACGCTCTCCTAGAATTAGGTACTTGGCTTTCTCAGCCCTGGTCACTTTAGGAACTTAGCATCTGTTTATGGGCTCGTCTGATCAATGTCCATCTCTCCAACTGAAACGTCAGCTCCACGAGAGCTGGGAGCTTACCTGCTGTGGACCAGGCCTGGTCCACAGGGTTTGCTGAGTGAGTGGCTGCCTGTCGTATCCACAGGGAGCCCCTGGCATGTTATAGCTGTTGAGAGTACAGCGAGGTGGGGGGTGGGAGGATGTCACCGCCTCATGGATGCCGAGGGGCTCTTGTCTACTTAAGGTCTGCACTCTCGGCTTTCTCGGTGGGCCAAAGATGGTTTTACCTCTTGTGTACAGGGTGGGGGACTGCAATCTCCCTGGAATTTGAATACTAGCCAGCGAGGCAGTGCTCCTGGGCCTCCACCTGTGTCACCTTCCTCCTCTCCCTCTTCCTCCTCCTTCTCCCTGAGCCCATCATTCTGCCGGCCTCCAAGCATGCCACCACCTTCTCAGCTGGGGAGGGACTCCTGGTGCTCAGACATGCCTGGGAAGCTGCTGTGATGCTGAGCTTCTGCCCTCAGTGTTAGGGCTGAAATATCAGAGCTGGAAGAACCCAAGCCCTTCACTTTACTGTTGCATAAGGAAGAGACTCCCTCACAGGCACACAGCAAGGGGCAGCCGGCCCAGGACCATGTGGGGCCGTCCCCACGGGAGATGCAAATTTCCTAGTTCGCTCCTTGCCTTCCTCATCTGCCTGGAGTGAAGTCACTTTGGTCAACCTCAGCAGCAGAGGTCCAAGGCGAAAGTGGTCAGAGGAGTGTAGCTGCAGGCCAGCTGTGTCAGGAGATGAAGCTGGGAGGATGCCACTGCCTAGTGTCAGACAATCTGTATTTAGTAACTCCTGAGTCTCAGTGGGCTGGCTCCAGTACTTTGAGTGAGTTATTTCATCTTTGGTCTTAGTTTACTCTTTATAAATATGACTAACAATTCCTTCCCCTCCTCCAAAAAAATTCTCCCAAACACCCGCAAAAACCAAAAGCCCACCCCTGGCCTGACCTAGTCAGAGGCATCTTGTCAGGATTAAATGATCCTCTGCACAAGGCACTGCTTGAGACTGTGCTTTTGATCTTCACAATCACTTTGGGAGGGAGTTGTTCAGTCGCTAAGTCGTGTCCAACTCTGCAACCCTGTGGACTGCAGCAGGCCAGGCTTCCCTGTCCTTCACTGTGTCCTGGAGCTTGCTCAAATTCGTGTCCATTGAGTCGGTGATGCCATCCAACCATCTCATCCTCTGTCATCTCCTTTTCTTCCTGCCTTCATTCTTTCCCAGCATCAGGGTCTTTTCCATTGAGTCATCTCTTCATATCAGGTGGCCAGAGTATTGGAGCTTCAGCTTCAGCATCAGTCCTTCCAATGAATATTCAGGTTTGATTTTCTTTAGGATTGACTGGTTTGGTCTCCTTGCTGTCCAAGGGACTCTCAAGAGTCTTCTCCAACACCACAGCTCAAAAGCATCAANCTTGCTGTCCAAGGGACTCTCAAGAGTCTTCTCCAACACCACAGCTCAAAAGCATCAATTCTTTGGCACTCGGCCTTCTTTATGGTCTAACTCTCACGTCCGTACATGCCTAATGGAAAAATCATAGCTTTGGCTATATGGACCTTTGTCAGCAAAGTGATTGTCTCTGCTTTTTAACATACTGTCTAAGTTTGTCATACCTTTTCTTCCAAGGAGCAAGTGTGTTTTAATTTCATGGCTGCAGTCATCGTCCACAGTGATTTTGGAGCCCAGGAAAATAAAATCTGCCATTGTTTCCACTTTACCCCCATCTATTTGCAATGAAGTGATAGGACCAAATGCCATGATCTTTGTTTTTTGAATGTTGAGTTTTAAGCAACCTTTTTTACTCTCCTCTTTCACCCTCATCAAGAGGGTCTTTAGTTCCTCTTTGCTTTCTGCCAGGAGAGTGGTATCATCTGCATATCTGAGGTTCTTGATATTTCTCCCAGAAATCTTGATTCCAGCTTATGATTCATCCAGCCTGGCATTTCACATGATGTACTCTGCATGAGTTAAATAACAGGTGACAATATATAGCCCTGACATACTCCTTTCCCAACTTTGAACCAGTCTATTGTTTCATGTCTCATTTTAACTGTTCCTTTGTGACCTGGATACATGTTTCTCAGGAGACAGGTAAGGAGCTCTGGTATTCCCATCTCTTTTAAGAACTTTCCACAGTTTGTTGTGATCAACACAGTCAAAAGCTGTAGCATGGTAATGAAGCAGAAGTAGATGTATTTGTGGAATTCCCTTGCTTTTTCTATGATCCCACAGATGTTGGTAATTTGGTCTCTGGTTTCTCTGCCTTTTTAAAATCCAGCTTGTACATCTGGAAGTTCTTGGTTCATGTACTGTTAAAGCCTAACTTGAAGGATTTTGAGCATTACCTTGGTAGCATGTGAAATGAGTGCAGTTGTATGGTAGAACATTCTTTGGCCTTTTGGGAGGAAGACTTTATTATTATTCCCATTTTTCAGCTGAGAAAACAGAAGCTCATAAAACAGGCACTGTCACTTGCCTAAGCCTTCTCAACAATTTCAAGAGGGAGTCAGATCTGACTGGGTCTGTCTGACTCTAAAATCCTACCCTGGGCCCAAGCCCTAGTCCCTGCCTTGAGGAACAAACAGTAAAAGGAAAATAGACATGAAAAGCATTTGGAAGTTACCCCGTGCCCTCTCGATGCTGAGGAGGTCCTGGCTCCTCTCACGTCTGAGGACACATGGAGGGTCCGGCAAGGGATCCCCTCTCTAAGAAGTGTCTGAGTTCTGTGCTTCAGGTTGGGTGAGCTGAGGGAGTGGTTCTTCTGTGATCGAGGGCGTGTGCAGATGAACTTTAGGTCTTTTTCTTTTTTGGAAAAGGGAGTTCGGGTGAGCAAGAGGGAGAAGTGTCTTTTTCATGGTTGGAGGTGGAGGAGGTATCAGGGAGATAATGGTGTTCTTACTTGTCTTGTCCTATTGTGCAGGCTACATGCTGCAGGGCTCCAGGAGGCACCACTCACACTGTAGTCTTAAGTGAATGACACTCCCTAGAGTTTGCCCTACACATCATTGCTGATAGCCTTGAAGGTGTTCCTTGATATGATAGCTCCATGGTAAGCAGTGATAGCAGTTAAAATTAACTTGGTACTTAGTATTTAAGCACACAGCATTTATTTTATCTTTATTAAGCACACGGTATTTATTTTATCTTACCTTGGCCTCCCAACAATCATCTGAAGTTGATATTATTTTTTTTTTTAAGTATAGTTGATGTATAGACTTCCCAGGTGGCGCAGTGGTTAAGAATCTGCCTGCCAATGCAGAAGATGCAAGAGATGCGAGTTCAATCCTGGGTCAGGAAGATCCCCTGGAGGAGGAAATGGCCACCTGCTCCAGTATTCTTGCCTGGAAAATTCCATGGACCGAGGAGCCTGGCAGGCTACAGTCCATGGGGTCACAAAGAGCTGGACATGACTGAGCGCACGCACGGGCACACACACACACATGCACACACATAGTTTTCGTACAATATTATTAAATTTACAGGAGTACAATATAGTAATTCACAATGTTTAAAGGTTATACTCCATTTATAGTTATTATAAAACATTGGCTATGTTCCCTGTGAGGTACAATATATCCTTGCAGTTTATTTGAAACCTAATAGTTCGTGCCTCTTCATCCTCTACTCCTGTGTTGCCCTTCCCCACCTCCTTCTCCCCACTGGGAACCACTACTTTGTTTTCTGTGTCTGTGAGTCTGTTTCTTTTTTTGTAATATTCACCAGTTCATTGTATTTTTTAAGATTCCTGATACTCTTGTTTTCTGTGTTTTACCTGTGGGGAACCTGAGGCTCAGGGGGTCAGGGGAATTGCCCGAGGTCACATAACCACAGTTCTTTACCACTGTGCCACGCTGCCTCTGTGAGGCTGAGGAGAGGGGGTGTGGTGGAAATTCTACTGCAGGTGAATAAAGCTCTTTTTCTTTTTTTCTGGCTGCCCCACGTGGCTTGTGGGATCTTAGTTCCCCCATCAGGAACGGAAGCCAGGCCACGGCAGTGAATGTGCTGAGTCCTGATCACTGGGCTGCCAGGGCATTCGCTAAAGCCGATATCTCTGTGTCTCTTTTCTTCGCCCTGCCATGGCGCCCTCTCTGTGGGATCTTAGTTCCCCCATCAGGAACGGAAGCCAGGCCACGGCAGTGAATGTGCTGAGTCCTGATCACTGGGCTGCCAGGGCATTCGCTAAAGCCGATATCTCTGTGTCTCTTTTCTTCGCCCTGCCATGGCTCCCTCTCCCCTACTGCAGCTGGACAAGATGTTGGACCCCCAGGTGTGGCGGGAGGCAGCCACACAGGTCTTCTTCGCTCTGGGGCTGGGCTTCGGGGGCGTCATAGCCTTCTCCAGCTACAACAAGCAGGACAACAACTGCCACTTTGACGCTGCCCTGGTGTCCTTCATCAACTTCTTCACCTCGGTGCTGGCCACCCTTGTGGTGTTCGCTGTGCTGGGCTTCAAGGCCAACATCATGAACGAGAAGTGTGTGGTCGAGTAGGTGGCACCTCTCCTCCTGTCCTCTCTGCTCCAGTCCACCTTCCCCTGGGAGATGCCCCCTCCACCCCGGCTGGGGGATGGAGGTCAGAGCAGCTCTCTGTCCTCAGCCCTGGACCACAGGGCCAGCTTCAGAGATGTCTGGGACCATGGTTTTCAGTGACCTCCCTGGGTGTCTGCGAGGTACCCCTGGTTGGAGCCCAGTCCTGCCTTTTTACCTGCACGTTTTTTAAACCTTTTCTCTTTAATGTTTTTACTTTGCTGTCTCTTGCGTGCCCCAGGAATGCTGAGAAAATCCTAGGGTACCTCAACAACGACGTCCTGAGCCGAGCCCTCATCCCTCCCCACGTCAACTTCTCCCATCTCACCACCAAGGACTATGCAGAGATGTACAAGGTCATCAAGACCGTGAAGGAGGACCATTTCTCAGCACTGGGCCTCGACCCCTGCCTTCTGGAGGACGAGCTAGATAAGGTATGGGGGAGGCTGTCCTTCCAGGACAGGCAAGAAGGCAGATGTGGGAGTGCAGAGCCCAGAGATAGGCTATGGGTGCCTGGAGCTTGGGTGCAGAAAGCCACCAGCGACTCCTTCTTTTGCTTGACGAGTGAGGATCTACCATGTGCCCAGAGAGAAAGGTACTGGCCAAAACCCCTGCCCTGAGGCAGGCTGAGTTTCACCGAGAAGACAAGACAGACACACACATCCCCAAAATCACAGGGAACGGGACAGCTCTCCCGTGTCCTGAATGGGTTTCCTGTGCACCCATCATTGCCATGTGTAACACACTGGGAACTGTGTCTCAGACATGGCACACAGAACGTGAGTGTTTACATTAGCACCTGCCCTTTGCTGCCTGTCCCTCCGGTCCCTCATGACAGTGCTGTGAGCTGAGTGTTAACGTTGTCTCCTGTTTTACAGGCGAGCAGCCTTTAAGTTGGGACCCTGCTCGAGATCTCACAGCTAGGAAGTTGGGGAGCCAGGGTTCAAGTCTTGATGCTTCTGCCCCTTCCCCACTCCCATGGCCACAGTGACCTTTAGCCCCTGGGGAAGGCAGGGATATGCTGCCCTTCATTGACAAGCAGGCCCAAGCTTAGACACTCTGCTTCTGTCCCCATTTGCATAGCCGAGACTTTCAAAGTGACTGTTCTGTGAGGAGGGGTAACAGGAGACAGACATGCCATGGAGTCCTGGGATCCAGCTCATGCCAAGGCTCACTGGGGGCTGCGCCAGCTCCCGTCTGTCAGCCTCTGCCAACCCTGCCCTTCTCCATGGAGCCAGGGATGATGAAGCTTCCCCTGCTTGTTAAAAAGTCATGTTCAATTGCTCAGTCACATCTGACTCTTTGCAACCTGGACTGCAGCATGCCAGGCTTCCCTGTCCTTCACTATCTCCTGGAGTTTGTTCAAACATCAAGAACCCCATAAATAGTTTAAAAGTTAGCTGCATTCTACTGGCACCAACCTAATACTCAGGGACTGAGTCCCCTGTGGCCTCTTCCCATGTGACCAAGAGCTAAAGGCCCTGTCTGGGCTCCCGTGCCCTGGTTTCTTCCCCAGATAACTGACAGAATAAAGGACGGTCCCCTTCCTTGAGACCCTGCCCCATTCTCACAGGTGGGGCCTGGTTCTCTGGATAGAAGTAGGATTCTTTTTAATACAATACAATTTTGATAACAACCAAATGACAAGAACTACTCTCACACAGTTGGGGTGGGTGTTCCCTGACCGAGCCCTGACACCACGAGGAGAGCACAGAAGTGATGTCAGTGGACAGTGTGTGGTCAGTTCCCCACGAGCAGGGGCCTCAACGTTGCAGCAGTGGTTCTCTACCTTGGCTGGCCATCAGAGTCCCCTGGGGGCTTTATAAAACCTTAATATCCAGCTTCACCCCCTAAGCCAAGCAGATCATTGTCCTTGGGGAGAGACTCAGGCATCAGTGCTTTTTAAAGGCTCCAATGTGAGTCCATTGGGCAGCAAAGGCTGAGACCACTACGGTTAGGTCTGATATTCAGAGCTGGGGGTGGCTGCACTGCTCAGAGGAGGAGAGTCTTGAGCTGGCTGTGTTTCTAAGAGGGAGCATCTTCATGTGAATCGCTGGGGGTCCTTGGACAATGCGTAGATTCCAGGTCTCACAGGTGAAGTCCTGAATTAGTGTTTTACTCCCTGGGGTGTATTCTGATGCCCACTCAAGTCTGAGACCCACTGGCCAGAAACAAGAGAATTTAGGTGGCGGGCAGGGATCACTGGGAAAGAGGGAACTGTTACTCCTAAAGCTCCAAGGGCAGAGAGAAGGAAGCAGGAGGCTCCCAGGTGGGCATGGCCCCCACTGAGCCCCCTCAACCCCTGCACTCCCCCCCCCCCAGTCTGTGCAGGGCACAGGCCTGGCCTTCATTGCGTTCACCGAGGCCATGACGCACTTCCCTGCGTCCCCATTCTGGTCTGTCATGTTCTTCCTGATGCTCATCAACCTGGGCCTGGGCAGTATGATCGGCACCATGGCGGGCATCACCACACCCATCATTGACACTTTCAAGGTGCCCAAGGAGATGTTCACAGGTAACTCCTCCCAGCGGTCCCCACTGGCCTTGGGCTGCCCCAGGAGGGCGGGGGGAAGTGGTCAGGTGGTGGCTCTGACTTGAGTAAGATTGGGTTCCCACTGGGTTATTCATGACTCCATACTTAGAAAGCTTAACCCGGGATGCAGCTGGAACCACCTCAAGAAGAGCACTTCAGAGCCAGAAGGGAGAAGGCTAATTGGGAATCTGTGTCAAATCTGGGCTGGGAGATAGGCCTCTTTCTTGGTTCACTCACCCCTCTCCCCAAGGGCCTGCTGAGGTGTCTGGGCAGGATGGCGTCCCTCCTTGTCAACCCTGCATCCTGTTTCATCCTGATCGCTCCCAGCTCCAGGGTGCTCCCCACCTAGTAGAATGGGAGCTCAGAACCTGGGCATCTGGACCCCCACCCCACTCCATGCAGGGCTGGGCCTTCTGGAGGGTGAGCTGCAGGCCTGCTTGGGAGAGGGCTGGGATGGGAGGAACCTGGGAGCCCTGAAGACACCCCAGGCCCTACCCACCCTGCACCTTTGCCCCCACACTGGCCTCCCGGCTCTCTGTAGTGGGCTGCTGTGTCTTTGCATTCTTCGTGGGGCTGTTGTTCGTCCAGCGCTCCGGAAACTATTTCGTCACCATGTTTGATGACTACTCGGCCACCCTGCCGCTCACCGTCATCGTCATCCTCGAGAATGTCGCGGTGGCCTGGATCTATGGGACCAAGAAGTAAGGGGGAGGGGGCGTGGGGAGAGGTAGGGAACAGGAGGAGAGGTCTGTCCCCTCATGACTCCCTGGAGAGTGCTGTGTTTCCAGGGCTGCTTGTGATTTAGGCAGGAGGTCACAGAGTTAGAATGTTAGCCAGAAAGTGCCCCCCTACAGATCATTCAGGGAAACCAAGTCTCAGAGAAAGGACACGATTGTCCAAGGCCGCTGGGCTGGAGTGAGGACCACTCTCTAGTTGCAGTGCATGGGTTTCTCATCGCAGTGGCTTTTGTTGCAGAGCATGGGCTCTAGGCATGCAGGCTCAGTGGTTGTGGTTCTCAGGCTCTAGAGCACAGGCTTAGCAGTTGTGTTGCATGGGCTTAGCTGCCCTGAGACATGTGGGATCTTCCTGAACCAGGGACCGAACTCGTGTCTCCTGCATTGGCAGGCGGATTCTTAACCACTGAGCTGCCAGAGAACCCCTAAAATTTATACTGAATATTAGCAAAATACTATTTTAAATCTGTGATATAGTAATACATGTGTGCTTTATTCTTACTGCATTAAGTTACAAGATCTAGCTGTGGGTCTAATAACAATGGTAATTTCTAAGTAGTGATGAGCATAAATGATGTTTGTAGGTATCTCAATTGTAATGTGATAAAACATCTGTGATTTAATCAATTCCTTACAGCCTCATGGGTGCTTGATAATACTGCTGTCATTGCTTGCACTTGTAATAGAAACACAGGCTTTCAGTTAGGTGTTACTGAGGTAAAGACGATTTTTAAAATGCCATTCATGCACATAGTCTGCCAGTCTCCCGAATTCCACCCATAGGCCTAGAGGTTAGAAACCTGAGTCGGGGCAGCCTTCTGCCTTTGGACGCCAGGGACAGGCACTTCTACCTCCCTTCCAGCAGGGGGAGTCTCGAGCCAGCTCAGTGTGAGTGGGGTTGGGTGCCCAGGAAAGCCCTCTGGAGCCTATCCACGTGCCCAGGGCATGTCCTGTGGCCTGTACCCTTTCCCTGCGTGAGATGTGATGTGACATAGTCAGAGTAAGCTAGAGGAGGTCAGCAGAGGCTTTTCAGAGGCCAGCAGGGCCACAGAATAATGTACTGAATGGGAAGAATGGAAGAGCCTGGACAGAAGGGACTGGTGAGTGAAGGCTTTGGAGGAGGAGTCTGGGGGCATTGGGCAAGTGCTGTGGGGGTGCCAACTTCTGCACTCTCTGCTGCTTCTGGCAGGTTCATGCAGGAACTGACGGAGATGCTGGGCTTCCAGCCCTACCGCTTCTATTTCTACATGTGGAAGTTCGTGTCTCCGCTATGCATGGCTGTGCTCACCACGGCCAGCATCATCCAGCTTGGGGTCACGCCCCCGGGCTACAGCGCCTGGATCAGGGAGGAGGTGAGAGTGGGGGCCCGAAACCCCAGGGATCTAGGGTGGTATCTTCCCAGGCCTTTAATACAACAAATAATAGAGATGAACCCTTACAGGGCAACTACTTGGTGTCAGGCCCCACTAGGGCCTGATCTATAACCTTTTCAACAACCCAAAGAGAGAGAGGTGGTTTTATTGCTATCACACAAATGGGAAAACAGGCAGAAAGGTGAATGTACTCATCCAGTCTTTCTAAGCCATGTTTCCCCTCCCTGCGGATGACTCTGTGACCAGCCCAGCTTTATACAAGTGTAGAAACTGAGATCTGGGGAGCCTCAGCCCTTAGCCAAGGGGACCAGCAGACCCGAGGATCAGCGCCTGATGACCCCAATTCTGCCAGTGCCTGGGCAGTGGGGGAGGGATGGGAGTGGGCAGGAGGAGTCTGAAGGGGTGAGGCTGCTGCAGAGCGGGGCAGGCAGCAGGGCTCACCTGTGTGCGCCCCTAGGCTGCCGAGCGCTACCTGTATTTCCCCAACTGGGCCATGGCCATCCTGATCACGCTCATTGTCGTGGCCGTCTTGCCGATCCCCGTGGTATTTGTCCTGCGGCACTTCCACCTGCTCTCCGACGGCTCCAACACCCTCTCCGTGTCCTACAAGAAGGGCCGCATGATGAAGGACATCTCCAACCTGGAGGAGAACGACGAGACCCGCTTCATCCTCAGCAAGGTGCCCAGCGAGGCGCCCTCCCCCATGCCCACTCACCGCTCTTATCTAGGGCCCGGCAGCACATCACCCTTAGAGACCAGCGGCAACCCCAATGGACGCTACGGAAGCGGCTACCTCCTGGCCGGCACCCCTGAGTCGGAGCTGTGACCACTGCCCTGCCCTGCCCACCTCACCCCCCGCCACACACACACACACACCCAGCCAGCCCACGTGTCCCCATCTGGCCTCTCCTTCCGGGCCAGGCCCAAGGCCCAAGGAGTGGGGCTCTGCCCTGCCTCATCCCCCACCCCTGTCCCAGCCGACTTCTGCTCCGTAGATCTGAGTGGGGGTTGGGAGAAGCTCTGTCCCCCGAACTAAGCCCCCAACCCAGCTAACCTTCTGAGATCGTCTTACCAAATTGCAGCTGAGTAACTGGAACCACCCAGCAGTCCCGATTCCTGGCACAGGGGAGTCTCCAAGTGGCTACTCTGGAGTTCGTTCCTCCTTCCCACTCCTCCTGGTATCTGCAGCTGTTAGGTCTCGGGGCCCCTTAGGTCTGTGCTGCCAGGTCGTGGCTCTGGCGAGAGGCATCGGGACGGGTTAGGCAGGGTGTCCTGTCCCAGAGATGCCCGACTGAAGGTTAGTGATGGGACAGAGGTGCCAGGACTCAGGGCTCTGACTTGGGGATGGAGTCTACAGAAATCCCCAAGCTCGGTTTGGTGAGGCAGATGGCTTCCTCGGGTTTGAGCATGAACCATGGCAGCAGACGTGGTGAGATGAGGGGGCTCCCTGGCACCTTAGCACCCAGCTCAAGACGGACCCTCCAGTGTCCTCGGCCTTGTCTGGGGTGTGTGGGGAGTGCTCCCACATCCTGCCTGAGAGGGCGATGACTGGCCCCAGAACCATTCCCACCTCCCTTAGGGCTGAGCCTGCCTACCCACCCACCCCTGTCCTGGAGCCCAGAGTGGTGCCTCTGCCTCTGCCCTCAGAGAGGAGAGGTTTCCAGGGCACACCTGATGGTTCACAGCACAATTCAGATGATCTGGAGCACAATTGTGAAGCACACCCCTCCCCTCTCGCCCAGGGCCTGACTCTCTTGCTAGTGGCAGCTTCTCTCCTGGAACAGGGGTCCGTGGAGTTCAGGGGCTCACACGGAGAAAGTGGTAATTTCACTGCCCCTCCGGGCCACCGCCACTCTCCTTGGATAAGCACAGCCACCCGGCGTGTGTGGACACCTCAGAAACCTTTCCCAGGCTGCCGGGCCAGTGGCAGGGAGGGCCGCATGCAGCGCTGGGGACACTGAAGCTGCCCAGGGCAAGGGCCTGGACTCTGTCCTGGGTTCCAGCCTTGAAGCATCCCCACCCACGCTTACCTTCACTACCCCAGGATAGGGCTGTCCTCAGAGTGTAGGTTAAGAGGATTAGGATCTGATCGGAGGTCAGAAGTGTGCAGAGCGATGAATGGACTGATGAAAGGATGCCAGGATGGATGGATGGAAGGAGGGAGAGAAGGGACAGAGGGAGGGAGCAAGACTGGCTGGGACAGCAGACCTCCATCTCTGAGAGCTGGGGTGCGCACGGCAGGGACAGGCCATGGTGCTTGGCCTAAGTCACTCTTGTGCCTCTGAGTGCTCTCAGCACTGGGAGGGGCACAGTAGCCCCAGGTCCTCTCCTTCACCCCTTCGTCCCTCGGCTTCCCCCATCCCACTTGGGGTCCACTCGCCATCTCTCTTCCTCATCCCATCCCCACACATGCTCCCATTTCTAGCCTTCTCAGCCCCACCTGTCCTTCCTGAGTGTATGAGGGGAGAGGGGATCCACATCTACACAAAGACATGAGTTTTTGGGGCACAACATCCCGCCTTAGGCACCCCCTCACCTGACAGCACCTCCTACCTGGCCCTGTGCCTAACCCTGAGCAGAAATAGCAACAGGAAAAGCAAGGCCCCAGGAGAGACACTGCTATATATACTCTTCTATATATTCTATTTCTATTGTATATTCAATCTGTACATGTGGGTGTAAATGCTGTTAAATGACAAACCCAATATTATACTGTGGTTGGTGGACTATTTTCATCCTCAGTGCTGTACAGATCTATTTTCATTGTATATTTGATATATTTTTAATTTTGTAGCGTGTGGCTGGACCAGGCCCTATCGTGCCAGCCTGTGACAGGGTGGCTGAGCTGGGGCCGTCTGCTTGGTCCTGTGGGCTTGGTAGTGCTTATAGCTGCTGCCGTAGGCTGGGCCCATCCTGTTGTGTCTCTGCCATTAGACATAAGGCCCGGAGCTTGGTGTGTGTGTGTGTGTATGTGTGTGTGTGTGTGTGTGCGTGTGTGCACATATGTGGGTGTGCGTAGGGTGCTGATCTATGACTCCTAGTGTTCACATTCCTGAAGACCACGCTGCCTCCTCCTCTCAGCTACGTTAGGCAAGGCCTCAGGGTAGAGTCTTGTGGGAAGCCTGTGAGAAAAGCATGTGCCTCTTGCTGGTGACTTACTTCCTTCACACCATCAGGCTTGCCAGAAACAGGAAATGAGGGGTCTTAAGGGGTGGGAGAAGTCTGCACATTTATTTTCCAGCCAGACTTCTGGCTGTGCCCACTGGCATCACAAGCTCTTCATCCCTGGAGAAAGTGCTGGGTTTCTGAAGATGCTGAGGCCCCAAGAGGGCATCATCTCAGAACGCCTCTGTCCTGTGTTTGCCCTTGAGACATCCCTGACAGTGCTCAGAGAAGACGCCTGCCCCTCCTCTGTGCTTCTGACACACACACCTCTCTGCTCACTCTCAGGGGAGCTGGGAGTGGGCGGGCCCAGTGGGGTCAAGAGCAAGCGGGGCATCTGACAGGTAAGAGCCAGCCGTACATGCTCTGGAGGAGCAGGAGGCGGCCAGGGAGGGCCGGGCCCCTGTGTTCCTGCACAGAGTCCCCAGGTGGCTCACTTTGGTGCTGTCCATGCAGCGTCCACAGGGAACAGAGCAGACTCCTGGGCGGGGCGGGGCGGGGCGGGGCGGGGGTGTCCCTGAAGAGGTCCCCGGTCCCACCTCTGCCTGGCCCCCAGCCCCCATCACCAGCTTCTTGCTCAGGGAGCCCTCTCCGCTGAGGCAACCTGAAGCCTGAGTGAGACCCATGTGGGGTGGACGGGTGGGCACACAGGTGGATGCCCACCAGACTGACTTGTGCCCTTGAGCGGTAAGTCCGTGGGGACTGCTGCTTTCCTAATGCCAGGAAGAGACCCTTCAAGTCAGCCTATAGGACGTGAGGCTAGGGGTCAGAACCTGCATGGTCCTGGGCCCGAGCAGGCCTTAAGTGTTACAGGCAGGGGTCTGCCCTCTGCCCTTCTTCTCAGCCGCACTACCCCCATCCCTTGCCACTGGAATACACCCTGAGCCCCCACCTGGCCCTGAAATGGGCCTGCTGCCCCTTCACTGGAGCCTAGTGACTGGGGGTGCAGAAGGAGGGCCCAGAGTCCCTTCTCACCGCAGGCACTGCTTTGTACAGACCCAAGCACACACGGCCAGCAGCCCTTTCAGTTCTGGCTTAAGTTCAGAGTGATTCCAGTCCACATGTCCCACACTGGTCAGAACCCTGGGTCAAGGACACTCAGCCAGGGGAGGGGATGAGGCATTGTCACCCCGGAAGCCCCTCCTTCGTCTCTGCTCCCCACATGGTGTACAATAAAGTGTCTGTTCTTACCAAACCCCTTGCCTTTCTGACCTGCTCCGGGATCAGGGAGAGGGGGTGGGGGAGGTCACAGATCCTGAGGACAGCTTTGAGGTGAATGCCTGGATTGGGGGGGTGGGCGAGGACCACTGTGGGAGTCTGGAAGCTGCCTGGCTGTCCAGTTGAGGAGCCAGGGGCATGAGGAAGGGCACGCATTTATTTCCCTAGGAATTATCCAGCATGGTTGGCAGCACATACACTGGCAGCAGGCCTTATGGATTCCAAGTAGTTCACACGTCTAACCTCCCGTGATCACAGAGTAACAGCTCAGAAATGCACCGTTGTCCAGGTTTTTCCAAGTGAGGGAAATGAGGCTCCATCTGATGGTGTTTCGTGTCTGTGTACAAGGTGTCATAGGGGAAATTCTTGCCCTGCTTTACTGCTGGGAAGAAAGCCGGTCAGTTCTGCCAGGGTGGAGGTGGGGAGGGCTGGGGGTGGGAAGGTGCCAGTGTCCAGAGGCCTGGGAGTCAGGTAGGGGGCAGCAGGGGACTGGAGAGTTCTCCAGGAGCAGGCCGTGGTGTAAATTCTGAGGGAATGACTCATCTCTTCAAGGTAGCTATCTCTTCCGCAAACGTCATTAGAAGGTAGAGATGAAATATGAGACTGTACATTGCTTGTTTTCTCAAAGTTCAATCTCAAGTATTTACTGAGCATCTACTGAATGCTCAGCTCTGAAGAACAGAATGAGCTGGGGGGATAGGGGAAGCACTACTTTGCTCACTCTCAAGGAGCACAGACATTGGAAGAAACAAAAAGTCTGGCTCCTGGGGGAGACCCCACCCCACAGCACCCCACTCCAGTCTAGAATGAGGCTGCCTGATCCCTGACACAGCCTAAGTCCCCCAAGAAACCTTCCATTTCCTTTTCCTGCCACAGAGAAGAAAGTGTTGTTCCAAGAATAGCCACCAGATGGCATAACAACATCTCTCTCCAGCCCTTGGTCCACTTAACGTTTCTCCATCTCTCATTCCTTGGTAGGCTAATTTGTTCTTGAGCAATCATTTATTAAGTGTCCACCATTAACAGACTCTGTGCCAGCTATGGATATACAAAGATAAATAAATAGGCACCCACTGTCCTGAGTTTGGAGAAAGGAGCCCCTCCTCTCCCACCCACCATCTCCAAATCTCTCAAACAAGGGAATGTCTTGGTGCTAAAAATATCACTCCTTGAAAATTAATTCAGTTCTTTGTTTGGAAGTAATGTTTGGGATTGAAATGCCAACCCTAAAGGACACATTGATTCACTAAGAAGCAGTATCACAAATACTTGAGTCTTAGGGAGTTGCAGTCAAACTTCCCAAGTTCAAGTTCAAATGCCAACTAGACCTTCTGCTTCCTGAGAGAATAACTAGAGCAAGTTATTTAACCTCTCTGAGCTTTAATTTTCTAGTCTGTAAGATAGGTAATAACGAATGGATTGAATGAGATAACATGCTGTTATGTATCAATTTACTCCGAAGCTCAGTGGCTTGAAACAACCATTTTATCATATCGCGTGGTTTTTTGGGTGAGGAATTCAGGCAGGGCTTATCGCTGTGGCTCTTCTAGGGGTGACTGAGGTTGCTCAGTAGTAGTCAACTAGCAGATGAGCTGGTCCAGAGGGCCCAAGGCAGGCTCACTCACATTCATTCAAATGACTGGCACCTCAGTGAGAACGGTTGGCAGGCTAAGCTCACGCACGCCCCAGACAACTAGACTCCACAGCACAGTTCACACCCGGGTGGCCAGACTTGTCTGCGATGGCTCAGGTTACCCAGAGAGACCATTTCAAAAGACAGGAGGTGGAAGCTGCCGATTCTGAAGGCCTGGGCCTGGAAAATAGTACAGTGTTGCTTCAGCTGTAGTCTGTGGGCCACAGCATCTGCCCCGAGTTAGTGGAAGGGCATACAGACCTCGCCGGTTGATGGGAGGGGAACCAAAGGATTCGTGGCCTATTGCAGGATGCAGAGATCTTCAGTCATTGGCATCTGAGTGGGGCACAAACAAGTGAGTCCTCGCAGGGAGGTGAACAGTTAAGCTTGGACCCTGCCCTGGGAGCAGACAGGGAGGAAGAGAAGGGCATGTGGGCAGGGGACACGGGAGACAACTTCTTTCGCCGCATGTTTGCCCAGGCAGGTGGCATGAGGTAGGTTTGAGTCATGGCTCTGCCGTCAACCTTGCCACATGAGGCAAGTCCCCGAACCCTCTAAACCTCCACTTTCTAAAAGGAGGATAACAAAATCCCTTCCTCACAGAGACATTGGGAAGGAAAAATGAACTCCTTGTGGTAAACCTGCTGGAATCCAGTATAGAATTCTTTCTAAACTGGAATAGAATCGGAGTTCATTAAATATTAGCTTCCTTTCTTCTTGCGACCAGAGTACATTCACGGGCCTGCTTCATTCCAGGGCCCCCGTTACCCTTGCAGTGAGTCATTCTCCCAGAGCTATTCAGAAAGGTCAATCTCAGCCTAAAACTCAATGAAATCAAGGAAGGAGGGGAGAGAAGGCATCATTTGAAGGAAAGGGAGTATCAAAGTGTGGAGGTCTCACCAATCCCACACATCTTCCTGCCCCCCCAACAACCATAACCAGCCATACAGCCTCACCCAGCCCCACCCCCAGGGCCTTGGACAGAAGGAGAAGGCTTCTACAGACCATAGGCATGTGGTGGCATTTTTTTTTTAAGGCCTCAAATTTTTTAACACTTCAAGGGAATGGAGTCCATGCTCCACCCCTGGAATCTGGTGGGCAAAGGCTTCCTTTGACCAATAGAATATGGTGGAAGTGATGTTACATGACTTCTGAGTCTAGATTAGAATAGGTTATGCCACTCCCACTGGGAGTTCTGGGGAAATCCAGCCACCTTCTAAGAAGTGCAACTATCCTGAGACCAGCCTGTGCCAGAGAGGACATGTGTTTGCAGGTGTTCTGTTGACAACTTCAGCCAAGCTCCCAGCCAACAGCCAGCATCAACTGCCAGCCACATGGATGCACCCTAGTGAACATCCAGCCCAGCTGAGCTTCAGATGTCTGCAGCCCTGACTGACACATCTGCTTGCGGCTGTATGAGGAACTCTAAGCAAGGGCTGTCTAACAGTCTTTCCTAACTCCTGACCCATAAAATCATGAGCAAAATACAAAGCTTGTTGGATTTACACCATGAAATCTGGGTAATTTGTTTCACAGCAATAGTAACCAGAATATGAACCTTAGTGCTGATCTGGCCCAACTTTCTCATAGAACAGTCAGGGAAAAGGAGGCCCAGCAATCAGAGAATTCAGAGCCCAGAAATCAGAGCCTCATGAACCATGGAGCTAGAGTCAAAGGGCTGAAAGGGACCCGAGTGTCAATCAAGTGGGGGCAAAACTGAGGCCAAAGACTGGGTTTCTCCCAATCCAGTGCACCCTCCAGGATAGCAAGATGCTGACAGGGAGGGCTCCGGCCCCGTCTACCCTCATCCCACTGCCTCTTTAATTCCATCCATCAAACATAAACCAAATGTTCTGAGCACCTGGGACTGTGCTAAGCACTTGAGTATATACAAAGAAGGATCAGGCAGGGGTCCCTGCTTTGTAGAAGCAATAATAATCTGACTTGGCATGTCCTGTCCCTGTTATATTCACCAGTGCTAGGGACTCTCCTGCATTTACTTACATAGTGGGAAGAAACCCTGGGAAATGGGGAGAAGACCATGTCTGTCACTCAACAAGCACCCAGCCATTATCAGGATTACTCCCTGTGAGCCATGGTGCCAGCTGCCAAGCAGAGCTCCACCCTTGGCTCCCTGGGTCAGAGCTGGCTGCCTTCGAGGTCTATCTGCTCTTCCCAGAGCTGACCAAGCAGGGAAGGACCCCTAGGCTTCATGAGCATCCAAGAGGAGCCAAAGTTTTTTCTGCCTCTCCAGACACCACTTTCCTTTCCTCAAGACCCTCCTAGAGGGGACCGGACCCATCAGGACTAATGAATACACTAATGGAATAAACCAGTTTTGCTGGAATTCGGTCCAAGTGGGAATAATCTGTACTCTTCTAGATGGAGAAGCGCTGAGTGCCAAGGAGTCTTACCAGCTGGGCCCCGAGCTCCTGTGTGTGCACGGGCACTCTCGCTGTCTACCCCCAGGCTAGGTCTCTACCTCAGCAGCCTTGAGCCAGGAGGGCTCTGGGGGTCCACTTAGCTGCCCCGATCCTGTGCTTCCCATGAACACTGTTCTGCCTGCAGAAGCCACATGGACCCCAGGTCGTTCTTGACTCTTGGCGCAACCCCAGACCCAGCGCAGTCTCCCAGCAATCACTGCTGCTCCTCAGGCCTGGAATCTCTCAAGGAGAATATGCCTGTGAGTTGACACCCAGGTCTCTTCCAGTCTTTTGACTCCAAGTTCATGGTTTATGATACTCTCAGTCCTGGCTAGGCCTGAGCTTGTAGTCTACACCCTTCTGGTCCTTTCCCTTTAAGAGCTGGGCCACCAAAAGGCCATCTTTGAAATTCCCCTGGGGCCCCAGATACACCTTCATTAGGATTTTCACTGCAACCCAGCCCTGTCTTCAGCCCCTGTGCAGAGCCCTTCCAGTTGACCTCTGCAAGGCCTGGTGGGCTGTCCTAATGTCTAGGTTCTTCCCAGATCCCTCCTGGGAAGGCTATCAGCATTTGATTTGGAGCCTGCAAGTCTCTGCAGGCTGCTTGGGGGTGGGGGTGGGAGGCAGGATAAAGTGAAGTGATAAGCACAGAGGAGGTTTCAGCCTCCACTCGTCCGCCCTACTCTCCCTCCACAAGGGGATAGCTCTATCACCCTCTGCCTCAGTGATGATGGCTGATAAAGCAATTCAATTAACCAGTCTGGGAAGCAGGGAAGGCTGGGAGAGGATGCTGACTCCTTGACCTGTATCTGAGGGAAGAGATGTCAGTCCTTGGCTGGAGCTGGAATACCAAAATGGAGATATGTGAATAGCAATGGTTAGTCCCTTGGCTTGGATCCCATGGGCCTGTTGCTAGGCCTGGAGCCCCTCAAAACAAGCAGAGTCCAAAGAAAATGGAGAGGATACTGGGTGGCTCATGTCATCCCAAAGTGGTTGAGTCCTGCACCAAGTAGGAAATCCTGAAGTGTAAATAGCTTTGATGTCAGGCTTTCAAGCCTTCTGGATCAGCCTCAGCCCTAGGAGAGGAAGGGCCTTATTTGAGGGGCCATTCCAGAGCCGACACCCCCCGTCCAGGTCACTCTGGGATCAAACACTACTCTCTTTTCTTTTTATTTACCATACCTTTATTTCTACTGAGGAAAACACACTGTGGCTGACACTTAAGCATGAACTGGCTCCCAGATGGATGTCATTTCCAGATAGCCAGAAGAAACCTGAGCATCCCGGGAAGGAAAGTGGAGAAAAGGTGGTAATGAAGGGAAAGAAGTTTGTGGAATTGAGAATTTCCAACTGTGACTGCTTTATGGTCTTGCTGAAAACTGTTTGTTATCAAGGACTTGGAGCAATGGAAAAGGGAGAGAGCAAGCTGAGTCCCAGATGGGAAAGAGAACCTGAGGTCCTGGAATTGATGGCCCCTTTTTCTTCCAGGACCACAAGCCAAGTGAGGTCTGGAGCATGGCATCCTAGCACCACCAGGGGGCAGCACCTACCCATCCACAGCATGTCGTCACGTGGTTGGGTGAGCAGGGGGCTCTCTCTCTCCTGGATTCTGAGCTCTGAGGAAATAGGAGGGCCTCATACACACAGAATAAAGGGAGACAAGCCCTATGAGGCCAACTGCCACATACTGAATTCTCCAGAAAATTTCAGAGAGGCTCAGGTAACAGATTAGCCCAGAGCTCTAGGATAAAACGTTCAGCAAGTGGTGAGGTCTTCTCTGGAGGCCTCTGGCTTGAGGCAGAGTCCCCTACTCCAGGAGCTGGGCGGTATGCTGCGACAGAGGCCCTCCACCCAGTTCTCTTTCTCCCCACTGCCTCTCCCAGGCCAGGCCCTCTGTTTTCGGTTACTCCTTCTGGGTTCCCCTACCCCCATCCCAGTTTTCTGATCTCCAGGCCTCCTTTTTCCCTGGTAGCTTTCTTCCTCCACCCATCTCCCCACAGGCTTCTCACCATCTACACACCCTGCAGTGTGGAAACACCGAGAGAGCAGAGATGTACCAGGGCAAGGTTGGAGGGTCTATGTTTTGTTCATTGATTTCCAGTGCCTGGAATAGCTTCTGGGACATAGTAGATATTCAAGAAATATTTATTGAATGAACAAGTGACTTAGGAGTGGGATGCTGGCATGGCTTTTTTCACCTCTCCCACCCACCCTCAACAACCTCTCTCATTTCTTGGAATGACTGAGTTCAACCACCCTGAAGAATGGAAAGTAGGGGAGAGACCCCAAGGGAGTTTGCCAGGACACAGTCAGCTAGGGCTTTAAAACTATTCATTACAGTCAATTCTTTAATACCCTTGTTGTGAGTCTTACTTGCTCATTCTAGCTTCTAGCTTGTCCTGGGTCTTCTCTTCCCAGTCTTCTCAAATGTGACTACATTTGAGAGATTTCTTTTTCACTGCAGCAAACTCAAAGCCAGCTAAACTCTGAAATGCCGACATCAGATCCAAGGGGTAGGGAGACTAGACACAAAATGAGCGCCAGCAAATTTGTGTTTCTGATTACAGTCCAGAATGCTGTTTAACTTGTCTGTGTGTTAGTAGAGATTACTGATCATCATCACATTATTTTGCTTTTTCTGACCTCATTAAGGATGAGACTTTTGCTTATAAGGAGTCCCCATATTTGTACTGGACTTCTAACCTTTCCTCAGAGCTATAGCCAGATGGTGCACAGGTGTCCGGGGAGGTGTGTCAATCACCTTGCATTTCTGCTTTAAAATCCTTCTTACAGTGATCTGGACAGATATGGAGCCTTGCCTAAAACTGTAAAAAAAAAAAAAAAAAAATCATTAAAAAAAAAAGGACTAATTTAAAGATGTGGAAGAGTTCTGGACTTAACAAGTAAAAACAAATGAATCTGGACATTGCTTTTGGATTGAAGCCAATGCAGTCGGGCTAGTGCCTAATATTTTGGGTATAGCAGCTTCTCAATCACTTAGCAAACAGGTTCTCAGAGGCAGGCACTGTGGGAGTTATCAAGATGAAAAAGCAGTGTGGCCTGTTAAGAGCTCAGGGTCGGAGTGCGGAGATGTGACAGAAAAAGGGCAAAGTCAATTTGCAGTGAGTGAAACAGCAGAATCTGGAGGGAGTCACAAGGTGTGGCATGGATGCTTCCTATGTGCCCCCTGGGACAATGATGAGCCACGGCTTTAACCTAACGATCTTTCAGGGCCACCTGCCCCACACCTGTAACAGCGCCAGGACTACGCTTTTTTCCCACCCAGAACAGGAGCTGCTTTTCTGCCCAAGGCCGCCGGGTGCCTTATTGCCGGCGGGGCCTTCGGTGACTGTGACAGACTCCAGCATCAGGACGAAGGGGATCTCAAGCCCAGCTGGGGGCGGAGTCGTCAGGAGGCCCTAACACAGTGTCTGGGGCAGGAGGGGGCAGCCTCTTCCTAGCGACACTGTCTCTCCACTCTTTTCTCCCTCCCGGCCTCCAGTCGGCCACAATTAAACCGCAACAAAGCGATCGGCTAGATCGGGAGGAGGAAACAGGAGAGGACAGAAGGGGCAGGCGGAGGTTAGAGGTCAGAGGTCGAGAGCGCTTCGGCGGCCGCGGGACTGCAGTGGGAGGAGCTGCGGGTTCTAGGAAGGCGGGGAGCGGGGCCGAATGGGGCGGGAGAGGATGGCGGCGGAGGCGCGCGAAAGCGGCGCGCAGGCGGCAAGGGGGTTACGCGCCTGGCTGAGCTGGGTTCTGCTCGGCTCCACGGAGGAACGCGGAGCTCGGTCGCCGGGGCCCTGCAGCTAGCCAGGTCGGCCCGGAGCCGCGCCCCGCCCACCCCTCCCTGCGGAGGGCGCGCCCGAGCGAGGCGGGGCCGGGAGGAAAAGGCGCCAGCGGAGTGGCGTCCGCTGCCAACGCCGGAGGGAGACGGAGAGCCCTCGGAGCTGCAACCCAACGGCGTGGAGGCAATCCCAGTCCCTAGGCCACCTCTCGCCCGCCCCCTGCTGCGGGCCAAGGCCAGCGCCCCGCCCAGAGATGGGTAAACGCGTGGATGGCGTGGCTCCCAGCGCCGCCAGATCGCAGGAGCCCGGCGCCGGGGCGCTGCGCTGAGGCTCCCGCTCGGCGCAGCCCAGGAAGCCTGCAGGTGTCCTTGGCTGCTCGGCCGCCACCCGGGAGACTCCTTCACCAGTGCCCAGAGCCCTGTTCCCTGGAGCTGCCCCGCCCCCCAAGCTCGGCGCAGCGCAGGACGCCCCGTCTGAGGCCCCCCCCCGCCCCGGCACGGCCCCCGCAGCGCCCAGCCCAGCGCAGCTCCCCGCCGCTGTCGAGCCGCGGACACAGGACCAGAGGCTCGCTCCAGCGGGCGCGCTTGTTTTCCTTCTGCCGCCTCGCCCTGCGCAGCACCCGCCTGTCTGAAAGCCGCGTTCTGCCCCGCCCGCCATCCGTGCCCTGCGCTGGATTTATGAATGGGGGGAAGAGGCCACATGCCGCCGCCGCCGCCTCTTGTTGACCGCACGCAGCCAGGGCCCGCGGAGCTCCGGTTACCGTGAGAGCGCCGGCCCGGCCCCGGCAGCCGCTCCCAGGACTTGTTGCTGCTGCGCTGCCGCCGCCGCTGCGGCGGGGAAGCCGGCTGCTCCGGGGCTCGGCGCGGACTGGGAGCAGGAGAGTGGCCCGTGTGAGTGTGAGCGCGCGCACCGCCCGGACCCTCGCAGTGCGCCTGGACAGTGCACTTCCCCGTCTTTGGGGAGGTGGAGGGGGGGCGTGTCCCGGGCCCCTAGCATCTGAGTGCCTCGGGTCCTAGCCGGGGGGAACGTGTGTGTGCTTGCCCTGCTTCCCCGGGCGCCTCGCTAGGTCCTCGGCTCTCCTTTTCCCCTCCTGACTCCCTCCCCGGCGCTGCCAGCCCAAACCCCAACCACCTGTGCACCCGAGAAATCCAACTCCTCTCGCTCGGTGCCCCGCGGGGGAGGCAGGGGCAGGGCCACGCCGCAGAGGGGGCCGCCGCCGCCTCCTGCCTCCTCCTGGTCCCCTCCCCCATCCCCGTCTGACGCTGCCTCCTCGGGAAGGGTGTTTGGAGGGCAGCGGCCGCCCCAAGCCGAAGCCCCGCAGCGCTTCTTATGATCAGCTCGGTGTGTGTCTCCTCCTACCGCGGGCGCAAGTCGGGGAACAAGCCTCCGTCCAAAACATGTCTGAAGGAGGAGATGGCCAAGGGCGAGGCGTCGGAGAAGATCATCATCAACGTGGGCGGCACGCGACATGAGACCTACCGCAGCACCCTGCGCACCCTACCGGGCACCCGCCTCGCCTGGCTGGCCGATCCCGACGGCGGGGGCCGGCCCGAGTCCGATGGCGGTGGTGCAGGCAGCAGCGGCGGCGGGGGCTGTGAGTTCTTCTTCGACCGGCACCCGGGCGTCTTTGCTTACGTGCTCAACTACTACCGCACAGGCAAGCTGCATTGCCCCGCCGACGTGTGCGGCCCCCTCTTCGAGGAGGAGCTCACCTTCTGGGGCATCGACGAGACCGACGTGGAGCCCTGCTGCTGGATGACCTACCGGCAGCACCGCGACGCCGAGGAGGCGCTCGACATCTTCGAGAGCCCGGACGGAGGCGGTGGAGGCCCGGGGCCCGGCGACGAGGCCGGCGACGACGAGCGGGAGCTGGCCCTGCAGCGCCTGGGGCCCCACGAAGGAGGCGCGGGCCCTGGCGCGGGGCCCGGGGGCTGCCGCGGCTGGCAGCCCCGCATGTGGGCGCTCTTCGAGGATCCCTACTCCTCCCGGGCGGCCAGGGTGAGTGACAGGAGCCTGGGTCTCCTCTCGACCGAGACTGACTGACTTGACCACCAACTCCCTCCCAAATTCCCTTACTTTGCATGGGGCCCCCGTGGAAATACCCCCTTACCCCACAGCCCGCCCCCTGCACGCTTCAGGAGAGTGCACCCACCTGACTTACTACTTGGACCTAATCCAGCTCCTGCTTTAAGGCACCCCCCTCGCAGCGAGTAGGAAACCCCTAGCTGCGCTCTTGCTTTTCCACCCCCTCCTTCCTGCTCAGGCGGCCTCTCTACATCTAACCCCAATTCCTCTGAAGAACAGAGTGCTGGAGAGCTGGAATGAAGCCTTGAGCTGGGGTCACGGAGGATTTGGGGCGATGGGAGGGAAACTAGGGTGTAAGTGGCTGATCTGGCAGGTCGTGGGATTTGCGGCTTCCTTGTGTCCCATCGCATGGAAACCCTCCCAGCAGCTTAGCGTGCTAAGAACTCTTGAGTTCTAGAGATGGGGCCTCGGGCTTCAGCTCTTTAGCCATAATAGGCAGAACTGGGACCAGAACACCAGGTTTGGGAGAGTCCTTTTTCCCAGCAAGAAGCAAGCAAGAAGAGCAAGATAAGTCAAGATGCCTGCCCCAAGCTATGCCCCTGAGGCTTTCTGGACACCAGAGTTGTCCTGGCCTCTGCTGGGATGAGGGGAGAGTCAGACAGGAAGAGCCTAAGGTTCTGGGCCCTTCAGCTTCTACAGCCAGTGGCCAGCCACAGGCTGCCTGGTGATGATCCCAGATTTGTTGCTGCTGCTTTCTTCCTGCTGCAGCACAAATTGGCTTCCCAGAAAGCCCTGGTTCAGGTTACTGCTTGAAATAGGTGACAGGGATGGATGGGGAGGGGGGGGGTGGCAGGAGGAAGTGTAGGTTGATTTAGGCAAGATCTAGTCCGTTTCCATCACCCCCTCCTCAAGTCAATCCAGTTTTCCCTAATCCTTTTAGGTGGAAGGGGGTGCTGTAGAGGTAGGCTTAAGCATCTTAAAAAAAACACAACAAAACCTAAAGGATGGCTTTAGATTCTCTGAAACAGAGAACCCTGGAGGTTAGTGTCTGATCTCAAGCCTGGCTGGGGTCTGTCTGGGAGACTGAAGACCAACGTGATGCATTGGATCTGGGTGTGGGGACGCTCTCCTGCGTCGGAAGCTGGTAGTTACCTCTGGCATCCCAAGTTGTCACATTAATGAGTCTCAGAGCTCTGCCGCCTTCCTCAGCACCTCTGGTGCTGGGCCTCAACCCAGTCATGGAAGGAAAAGTTCCACTCCCCCCATCCTCAGGGGAGAGCAGGAGATTGGGAAATGGGGCTGCAGGGAGGGGCCAGGCTGGCATAAATGCTCTACTAGAGCACCTGCATCGCCTGTGTGTAAGAGAAGAGAGGAGCAGAGAGGTCAGCGGCTGAGGCATATGTCCTCGGGCAACCACTGGAAGGCAGGGACCGGTTTCAAGACAGAGCAAAGCTAGGGTGCCACCTCTGTTCCTTGCCCTGCAGCCCTGAGACCAGCTCAGAAGGTGAGGGCTCAGTGAGGCCCTGGCAGACTGTGAATCCCACGGGCTTCTTATGCCGTGCTCTAGCCCTGCTGGTGTCCGCTCTCAGCTGCGGGCATGGTGAGAGGGGTGGGAGGGGGCAGAGACAAGTGCAGATCCTTTAGGTTCTTTCAAAGTTGGCAGTAGAGGAGGAGGAGGCTGATTTAACTCGGGGTTGGGGAAAGAGAGCGTGCCGGGGAAGCAGGAATGATTTGAGATGCTTAGGGGCCCTATTTCTGAACATTCTGGGGGTCTCTGAAGACTTTTTACCTACTCAGTTTCCTCTCCCTTGGGTTCCAAGGTGCTGTACCATCAATGCATTTATTTTGTCCTTAATTCACTGCCGAGTGGCCCAGCTTGGGCTCTGTGAGTAAGCTCAGAGCCTGGTTATCCTCTAGAAGTCCTCCATGAGCCCAAGATATTAATACTTGGCCCTTTTGATATATCAATAGAATCACAGCAGCCAGGGCAGTCCATTTGAGGTTGGAAGTTTTGGGGCTGGGCTGGGGAAGTTCTTCCCATTTAACAAAGAAACCAGGATTCAGAGGTGTTAAGTGTCTTATCACAGACACTTAACTAATAAATAATAGAACCAGGAAACCACCCCACGCCGCCTGCCTTCTGGTTGTTAACACTGATGTGCACAGCTGTATGGAGCTCATGCCAGAAGGGGCTCATTTCCTACAGAGGAACACAAGCCAAGGCAAGCCTTCAGCTGTTCCTGGGACACACTAGTGAGAGCACAAAAGTTTAAGAAATTAACTGATAGCAACTGCCATTTATTGAGCACTCCATGCAAGTACTTTGCATTACTCCTCCCAGTAAACTACCAGCGGAGTGTTAATATTATCCTTATTTAATAGACTGAGGCTGTGAGAGGGCAGACAACTTCTCTAGGGTCACACAGCTCAAGAGCGGTGGGCTGGGACTCAAAATCAGGGCTCCCTTGCTTCTCAGATAATCACATGCTCTTGTTATCATGCTTTTGAGGTGGCTCATTTCTTACTGTGGTCTGGGAGGTTTTCCAAGGTTCTGTACCTGCTGTGGATGACATCAGAAAACCCAGGGGCAGATGGGGACGTCAGAAGGGACACTGACTCAGTTACGCTTCCAGGCCTGAGGTACAGGGTTTCTGGGGCTGTGTTCTCCGAGCTCTATTTACCCCAGACCAGTAACACGCCCCTCCCCAGTGTCGTCCCCTGGGTCTGTGTGCATCCCTTCCCTCCCTCACGCCTCTTCCTGCTGCCTCCCTGGTCCCTGGACAGGGGCTTCCAGGGCCAGTAAGGGTAGAGGAGCCTCCCACTGACCCCGGGCATCTCTCCGCACACAGCAGCTGGTCATTTGAGTAGCGCGTTATGACAGAAGCAAAACAGATACAAATGGAAAATGAACTGAGATGATTATGGGAGGCTGTTGCCTAGCTACTGGCCTGGCCCTCAGAGCCATTCCCCTTTGGGCTCGCCCCACTCCCTTCCCTGCGTCTGGGCCCATGGGTGGCTGCTGCTGTGGTTCTGTTCCCATGGCCTGACCTGGGAGCAAGTGCAAGGGGCGGGCTTGTCTTGGCCCCATCTGCCCACTGCCTGCGTTCTAGGCAGAGTGAGGGCTCAGCAACGGTGAGGGTGGCTTCCCAGACTGTAGGGGACCAGTCGGGTTTGGGCAGCATCCAGAGTGCTAGAATCGGACCTTCCTTCTTTTCTGACGGCTGACACCAGGCCTGATGGTTGGGACCCTGGGCTGCTCACCTCCCATATCCCTGTTCCCAGAGGTCCCCAGGGCTGATCTGGCTTAAGTCCAGTTATTGGCCGTCTTAAGGATGATAGTCCTCCTCTGGGTAAATCAGTACCTGGATTGAGTTTTCTCATGACGTTTCCCTTCTGAGTAGAGGAGATGACTCCACAGGATCCCAGTGCAGCCGGAGCTGGGGTTTCACATCGCCTAGGCATCCACTCTGTGTCAGGTGCTGGCACTTGGGCCTTTTTCTGATATCTGACCCACGTGAGGCAGGGAGTATTAACCTAAGCTTACAGAGAAGGGAACGGAGACCAGGGGGGCTTGTTGAAGGTCACATAGCTGGTGGTAGAACTAGGATCTAAGCCCAGATCTTGGGCATCCCCATGTGTGCTTGTCCCCCGCCTCTCCCACCTCCTGGGGCTCTGCTAGGAGAGGACCTCTGACTTTAAGAGGCTCTCTGCTGTCCTCCCATCCCTTCCTTCACTTCTCCCTCTGAATTAAAGCCCCCATCTCCTTGCTCCCTAGAGTTGCTCACACCTGAGCTTGCTTGCTCTTTCTTTCCCTCACTGTGGGGCTTTTATAGGACAAAAAGAAAGAAGGCTTGGTTGAGAGAGGAGACCAGGTTTTCCATGGCCTGGGCAGAGGAATGAAACCAAGGCCTTCTAGGAAGGAAATGCAGAGTTTGCTTCCTGCTCACCTTTTCTGAAGGCCCTGGCTTCTCCTGCCTGGATGTTGCCTGGTACCAGCCACTCGGTGGGCATGACAGGCTTCTGAGTGAGGCTAGGGCTTGAGGTCCCCATGCCCTCTGGGTGAGAAAGGGCTAGGAACCTGAGTAGGAGGCTGGGTGCCCTGACTTCCATAGCACCCTTGGGAGGGCAGTGCCAGCATGCCCCAGGGCAGCCCCTCTGCCTCCTTCCCAGGCCAGGGGCTGCCTTCTACCCTCACCCCTGTCTCTGCCCTCAGGCAGCCTGCCAGGCTTCTCCTGGGCTTGTTTGTTGTTTTCCTCTCTTGTTCTGAACAGACCAACATTTGTCTCTGAACATCTTGTCTCTGGATGATGAGGTGTTTCTGTCACCGTTTGGGCTGGGGTGTAAGGTGGGGAAAGGGATAAAATAAACTTGGGCTATTTTGGAGAGTTGGGGGAGGAGCAGGCACGAACAGAGTCAGGCAGCTGGGCCGTAGGAACCAGGAGCCCCCAGGCCCCTCACCTATTCCCATGGTCAGTGTTGGCCTGGGATGCTGGCACCAGGGTACGCGCGCCACCTTTGCTCCTGGGCAGCCAGCCTGCCTCAACCTGACCCAGCTCCCTGCTGGCATATTCCTCCAGCTGGGTGAGGTTACCCGCCCCTGGCAGGGGTCCCCGTCAGGCAGCAGGCTTGACCCACCTTGGAGAGCCACAGAGTCTGAGAGCCCAGGTACCAGGAGGGATTCCTGGGTGCCCCTCTGTCACCTCTCCTCATGACAGGCTCCTTAGGACCAGGAGAGGAAGCAGGCAGTCAGTCACCTTGGCTTCAGTCATCCAGAAAACATTTATTGAGCACATACTATATGGCCAGATACCAGGGTGGCTTTTATAAAGACGAGTTAGAGGTGGTCTCTATTCCTGAAGAGAGCCAGGTCAGGTGGAGTGGGTGTCAGCCACAGAAAAATGAGCGACAGGAAATGGTAAAGATAATACACATATATCATGAGAGGGGCCACAGTAGTCTTTTTTTCTTCTTCT